GGGTCTTCTCTAAGCTTTAGAAATTTCACAAGAATATGTGTAGGTATAATCTTTTTTCTAATCCTGTGCTGGGCATTTGAAGGAATAACTCTGTAAGGTTTTTTGTTCTGCCATTTGGAAATTCTCTATTTCTTTCCTTTTTTTTTCTTCTTTTTTTTTTTTTTTTTGAGATGGAGTCTTTGCTCTTTGCCCAGGCTGGAGTACCGTGGTGCAGTCTCAGCTCACTGCAACCCTCCACCTCCCAGGTTCAAGCAGTTCTCTGCCTCAGCCTCCCATGTAGCTAGGATTACAGGTGCACGCCACCACGCCCAGCTAATTCTTTGTATTTTTAGTAGAGATGGGGTTTTCACCATCTTGGCCAGGCTGGTCTTAAACTCCTGACCTCATGATCCACCTGCCTTGGCCTCCCAAAGTTGTGGGATTACAGGCATGAGCCACTGCACCCAGCCTGGAAATTCTCTTTCTTAGATAATAACATCTCCATTTAAAAAATTCTTTTGAAACTTTCAGGATTCTGATGGTGCTCTGTTTTCTTAGGGACTTCTCAACTTTCTTGAATTGTGAATTTTTGTTTCTCATGTTTTAAAAACATAATCAACTCTGATTTTTGTTTTTTTTATAATACCCTCTTGTTTGATGTTCTATGATTTTTTTTTTTTCCCTAGAATTTATTTTGGTCTTGGTCTTTACTTGGATTTTTCTTGTCATACCTCTGGTTGTTATTATTATTTTATATTTTTTTTAAATGGAGTCTCATTCTGTCTCCTAGGCTGGAATGCAGTGGCGTGATCTCGGCTCACTGCAACCTCCGCCTCCTGGGTTCAAGCAATTCTCCTACCTCAGCCTCCTAAGTAGCTGGGACTATAGGTGTGTGCCACCATGCCTGGCTAATTATTGTATTTTTAGTAGAGATGGGGTTTTACCATGTTGGCCAGATTGGTCTCGAACTCCCGACCTCAAGTGATCTGCCCACCTCTGCCTCCCAAAGTGCTGGGATTACAGGTGTGAGCCACCAAGCCTGGCTGTTGTTGTTGTTGTTGCTGTTGTTGTGTGTATTCCTTTTTTTGTTTTTTTCAAGACTGAGTCTCGCTGTATTAAGTGCAGTGGCGAGATCTCAACTCAGTGCAACCTCTGCCTCCTGGGTTCAAGCGATTCTCTTGCCTCAGCTTCCCAAATAGCTGGGAGTACAGGCACCCGCCAGCAAGTCTGTCCAATTTTTGTATTTTTAGTAGAGGTGGGATTTCACCGTGTTGGCCAGGCTGGTCTCAAACTCCTGACCTCAGCCATCTGTCTGCCTTGGCCTTCCAAAGTGCTGGGATTATAGGCATGAGCCACCTTGCCTGGCCTGTCTGTACATATTGTAGAGTGACAGAATAGATAGACTGATTGGAAATTTTGTATATAGTTATAGCTTGACTGGTGTTCCTTGCTCATTCAGTAAATAGTATGTAATATGTATGTCAGATACTTCAATATATGATAACTGGATGGGGAATTTTTGTAAGGGAAGGTAACCATTCCTAAAATTTCAGAATGAAGAGGATGTTCTTATTTTTACCAGGTAGTTTATTCATTTTCCTTAAAAAGGAACCTTTCTTGTTGCCCCATTTGCAGCTTTTTTTCTCATTTGTGTTTTTCTTCTGCTTCCTGCCCCTTCTCCTTTTTCTTTTTCCCACCTCCTCCTCTTTTTTCACTGCTCCTTGCAGAACAGGGCTACCCCCATAGGCAGTGTACCCAAAGTAACCTTTTTTTTCATTCCTGTCTAGAGATGAAAGTCCAGGTTTTTTTCCTGACTTTTCCAGGCAGTTAGACTCTCCTGTTGTTTATATGGTTGGGCTATATAATCCTTCCTTTTGCATATTCTAGGCTGTGAACTTTTTCTGCTGTATTTTATCTTACTTTGAGCTTCCCTGAGACTTAGTGAAACATCTTGTCCATTTATAGCCTCTCTCTCATTTTTCCTCCTGTTAGAGATGTATTCTCTTTTAAAATGCCTAGCTGAGTGCTGTGGTTGAGTTGGAAGGATTGCTTGGTTGCAGGAGTGCTGGGCGCTGTGCACTATGGCAGTTGAGTGTCTGCATCAAGTTCAGCATCAGTATGGTGACCTGCAGGTTGCCTGAGGACAGGTGAACCAGCCTAGGCTGGAAATAGAGCAGGTCAAAACTCCTATGCGGGTAGTGGTGGGATTGCACCTGTGAATAGCCACTGTACTGCAGCCTGGGAAGCAGTGAGACCCTGTCTCTTAAAAAATAATAGTAAATTAAAATGCTTTTATTGTCATTTTAGCAGATAAGTCTCATGCTTCTGGCCCTTTGAATCTAAAAGCATTTCAGTATAATTTAATTTAATTTAATTTAATTTATTTATTTTGAGACAGTCTCACTGTATCACCCAGGCTGAAGTGCAGTGGTGCAGTCTTGGCTCACTGAAACTTCCACCTCCCAGGTTCACACAATTCTTATGTCTCAGCCTCAGAAACAGCTGGAATTACAGGTGTGTGCCACCACAACCAGATAATTTTTGTATTTTTAGTAAAGAACAAGTTTCACCATGTTGGCCAGGCTGGTCTTGAACTACTGACCTCAAGTGGTCAGTCCGCCTCAGCCTCCCAAAGTGCTGGGATTACAGACATGAACCACTGGGCCCAGCCATGATTTTATTTTTAATTAAAATTAATCTGGATTTTAAATTGATAGATAGCAGTATACTGTTAGGGATTATGGAAGACAGCGAGCTTACTTAATAGCAGATCTCTTGAAAGTAAATGATGTCTAAGGGCCAGGCGCAGTGGCTCACACTTGTAATCCCAGCACTTTGGGAGCCCAGACGGGTGGATTACCTGAGGTCAGGAGTTTGAGACCAGCCTGGCCAATATGGTGAAACCCTGTCTCTACCAAAAATACAGAATTAGCTGGGCATGGTGGCATGCACCTGTAATCCCAGCTACTCAGGAGGCTGAGGCAGGAGAATTGCTTGAACCTGGGAGGTGGAGGTTGCAGTGAGCCAAGACTGCTCCATTGGACTCCAGCTTGGGTGACAGAGAGAGATTCCGTCTCCAAAAAAAAAAAAAAAAAAGTCTTAGATGTCTTAGAAACAAGCCTTAAAAGATCTTAATCTTAACGCTTATTAAATGTAATGTAAGTCTAAGCCAGCCTCAGCTCTTGCCTGAGATTACTAGTCTCCTTATTTCTATTCTACGTGTATTCTCTACACAGCAGTGAGGGTAATGATTGCAAGTAAAATATTGTGTTACTTTTTTGCTTAAATCCCTCCCATAGTTTCCCTTAGAATAAAATTCACACCCTTTCTCCTGATGCGTAAGATTGTATGCAGTCTCTTGCCTGCCTACTTCTTCACCCATGTTACCTACTGGTATCCTGCTTGTCTCCTCATTTAGCTACACCAGCATCCTTGATAAATTATTCAAACAGCCAAGCTCATTCCTCATGGCCTTTTAGAATTGCGTTATAAAGAGGGGGAACTGCTCATCCCTTCTTATCATTCAGTGCTGCTCAAAAGTTATCTTCTCAGGGAGGTTTTTCCTGACCATTTAAACTAGTTTTTCTTCTCTCTCCCAAATCACTGCCTTATCCTGTACACTGCTTTTAATTTCTCCTTAGCATATATCTGAAATTATATTATGTATTTGCTAATGGTCTTTTCCCTATTAGAATGTAAGCTCTATGAGGGCAAGGACTCTGTCTTGTTTACTGCTGTATTCCTGTATCGTAAATACACATGACCCTTTAGAACAATTCTAGGCACACAACAGAAATTCAGCAGATGTTTGGGTGAATGAAATGACAGTGCGGCCCTAAAATACTATTTTAAAACTTATTTTCTTCCCAGGTTATATTTTCTTAGTAATTGTGTGTAAAAATGTGGTGGTATGAATTTTTTGGGTTTTAAAAACTTTAGTAGTGAGTTTTTTTGGGTACATTATATTCATAAGATCTGTGAATTCTAGCCATAACTTTAAATAAGTGTATTGGCTGCTCGTTTACATGACTATCTGTAAGTAAAATGAAGGTCTCTTAGAAGTTAATACAGTTTGACCTTAAAATCTGTTCTAAAATTATTTGACATTTTTGTCATTGAATAAGAATGAGAAGGAGGAAGCATAATATAGAAAAGTAGCATGAGGGGTAGAGTGGTACTGGATTGTGATTATATAAGTTAAGGAAATAACTTGCTTAGGCCTATTCCTTGCCACCATTTTTTTTTCCTTAATAGACAAGGAAAAAAAGTTTAATAAAAGGATTTTAATTTGAATTGTATGTCTTATTTGAGTATTGTTTTGGTTATACTGGTTACTGAAATGTGTATTGTGTCACTATTCACTTTTTTTTTGAGATGGAGTTTTGCTCTTGTTGCTTGGGCTGGAGTGCAATGGCACAATCTTGGCTCACTGCAGCCTCTGCCTCCTGGGTTCAAGCAATTCTTCTGCCTCTGCCTTCCAGGTAGCTGGGATTACAGGCATGCACCTGGCTATTTTTTTTTATTAGTAGAGACGGGGTTTCACCATGTTGGTCAGGCTGGTCTTGAACTCCTGACCTCAGGTGATCCACCCACCTGGGCTTCCCAAAGTGCTGGGATTACAGGCATGAGCCATCGTACCTGGCCACAATTCAATTTTAGATATAAGCCTTGTTTTTATAGTATGATAATAGATGAGTTGATATGGTAAATACCCCAGAAGGTGAACGATCAGAGGCTTAGCTGCTGTGTGAACTAAGAAGTATTCCTGGAATATAATTGTTCTATATTTGGTAGGTTAGAAGTTTGATTTTTAAAATAATCATCTGGATGGACTGGGCACGGTGGCTTACGCCTGTAATCCCAGCACTTTGGGAGGTGGGCAGTTCATGAGATCAAGACCATCCTGGCCAACATGGTAAAACCCCGTCTCTACTAAAAATATAAAAATTAGCTGGGCTTGGTGGCACATGTCTGTAGTCCCAGCTACTCGGGAGGCTGAGCCAGGAAAATTGCTTGAACCCAGGAGGCGGAGGCTGCAGTGAGCCTGGAGACAAAGCGAGACTCCGTCTCAAAAAAACAAACCAACAAACAAACAAAAAAAAAACAAATCATTTGGATGGTTCTGACCTTTTCCTGGAATTATTGTTTCGTGTAGTATTTCCCAACTGGAGCAATTTTATATCCCTCCAACCCCATCCCCAGGTAACATTTGCCAATGTCTAGAAACATTTTTGGTTATCAACTTGGGGTATGCTATTGACACCTTGTAAGCAGAGATTAGAGATGCTGCTAAATATCTTACAGTGCACAGGATAATCTCCCATAACAAAAAAATATCCAGCTCAAAGTGTTAAAAGTGTTGAGGTGCTTTTTTTTTTTTTTTTTTTTTTTTTTTTGAGACAGTTTCACTCTTGTTACTCGGGCTGGGTGCAATGGCGCGATCTCGGCTCACCGCAACCTCCGCCTCCTAGGTTCAGGCAATTCTCCTGCCTCAGCCTCCTGAGTAGCTGGGATTACAGGCATGCGCCACCATGCCCAGCTAATTTTTTGTAGTTTTAGTAGAGACGGGGTTTCACCATATTGACCAGGATGGTTTCGATCTCTTGACCTCGTGATCCACCCGCCTCGGCCTCCCAAAGTGCTGGGATTACAGGTGTGAGCCACCGCGCCCGGCCGAGGTGCTTTAATGAATAATTTGCAAGAGAAATTTGAACTCTAAAGTAATAGTTATTAGAAAGATCAAGCATGTTTACTGATTGACTTCATGGGGGAGATTTCCCATACATTTTAGTCTTGTTCTCTTGACCTCGTGACCCACCCACCTCGGTCTCCCAAAGTCCTGGGATTACAGGCGTGAGCCACCGCGCCCAACCTTGATGGCATTTAAACAACCTTCTTAAATTCTTTTTAGAAGCACTTATAATTTTAAAGATGTAATATGATCAAACACCTTTTTAGTCATAGAGTAATCCATTCAGAAGCCTAGTTTGTTTGTATTAGTAAATTGGTGAATTTCTATCACCTAGTCATTGTAAATATCTATTTTTTTCCCATTTGAGTTTGGAATGTGCCTTTAAATGTTTAGCAATTAATTTTAATGAAGTTATATAGAGGGCTGTTGCAAGTCCTCTGCCTTCTGCATCTCTTCTTAGGAATATTATCTCTGTTTAAGTCCATATTCTTCAAAGGTATTTTTTTTTTCCAGTTTGAATAAAAGTGAAGTTTCTCTTATGGAGGATGCTTTGGAGCACTGTTGGTATATAAAATAAATTTACTCTTGACCATAAATTAAATGGTAGTCTAATGGAAAAATAACATATTATCCGATAGAGTTGTAAATAAAATGTAGTACAGACACAGAGTGGGGAGTAATTTAATTCCATTTATGAAGATCCAGGGCTTTATGTAGTTTGGTATGGTTATATTATAGGGATGCTCCTTAGTAGTTTGGTATGTCATGATGAGAAATGATTCCTGAAAAGCGTAGGGCTATAGAATGAAATAGCAGAATGATATTCCTAAGTTTCTATATTATCTTGAGGTCATGGAGTGACTGTTGTCTAAGTATTGAGTGAGATAAAATAACAAGTTTTGGAAAATAAGGATTTTGGAAAAACTAACCAAGTAATGTTATTGAAAGGTTGCTTGAAATGAAAAGATATATCTGTATGAAAGGAGATCAGTTTGGACATGTTTGAAGAGCTCATGCAAAATGATGTGAGGCTGACACTAGGAAATTAGAAGCAGCAGGGATGTATGAATGTTACAGATGCTGTGGAATGTATTTTGAAGAACTTTGCAGTCAGTTGAATAGTAAAGTAGGGGAATAAAAGGAGAGTTTAAGGCCAAGCATATTTAGTTCATGAGATGTAAAGATGAGAAAGAATAGGTTTGAAGGTATCTCTATCATTTTTTTTTCTTCCTACCATTCTTTTTACCCACTTTAGGCTAAATCTTACCAAACTTAATTTTTCTGATTTTTTTAAAGTAGCATTTCTAAATGGAAGTACTTTGATTCCTTATGAAAGTAAGGTCTTGCTAAATAAGGAACATCTGACTAATTAATAATGGCATATCCACTAAAATAAGCAAAGGAAATCTATATAGGCTGATATAGGAAGATCTCTAGATAGATTAGGAACAAAGTACATATGTGCAAACATAAATGCTGGCATATAGATAGGGTTTTTTCTACCTTAATTTGATGATAGAAATAGTCTGTTATCTTGAAGGAGAGAGATTGAAATACTTAGGCTTTTCATCGATCTCTTTTTATACTACGTGACTTTAGCTATGTGTATGTTATGTGAGTACATTGTAAAAATGTGAATTCAGTTTGAGGTGCCTGCTGAGAGATTTCATCAGGCAGTTGGGATCATGTCTGAAATTTAATAGAGGGGACTGTTAATAACCCAGTTAGAGTAAATATACAACGCAAAAGGACAAGAATGCATCAGTAGAAATAAAGAACTAGTTGATTTATAATAGAGGAATGCTTACAGGTGTGTGCCTTTATAGAAAATTACAGTAGGAGAAATTCAGAGCTTTGTTTTACTTATGTTAAGTGAAACTCCATTTTCTGTTTGGTGTAAGTAAGTGTTTCCATTAATTGCTGTTGAAAGGTGGCACTGTCCATAATAGTGGGTTAGTGAAAGAGAGCAATACTCTTGATTTTTATTTTTTCTTTTTTTAAGAGAGAGGATCTTGCTCTGTTACCCAGGCTATGGTGCAGTGGCATGATCATGGCTCACTGCAGCCTTGAACTCCTGGGCTCAAGCGATCCATCCTCCTTAGCCTCCCAAGAAGCCAAGACTACAGGCATGCAACAACACTGCTCGGCTAATTGAAAACATTTTTTTTTTTTGGTAGAGACAGGATCTCGCTATGTTGTTCAGGCTGGTCTTGAACTCCTGGTCTTCAGTGGTGCTACTACTTCAGCCTCTCAAAGCACTGGGATTACAGGTGTGAGCCACTGCACCAGGCCCTCTTGATATTTCTAATCAGCAGTTTTAGGTGGTAACAGCTACTTAACCAGTATAGAGTAACAGAATTTATCATTTCAAAGTATTTTTTTATTCTTAGACTTTGATGTGCAGCAGTTTTATGTTTAACTTTCAAAAGACTTTTTAAAAAGTGAAATTCCTTTTCTAATTTGTTAGAATTTACTTGCAGGGAAGGAGAGGTTGGAGTGGAACATAGCATAATCCATATGTAAGACATTTGTGGCAAATATTTATCCTTCTTTGGTTTCTGATTCTTTTTAGTTTCTCTGTTAGTTAATGATAGCATGTATTTCAGGATAGAGGCTAAGAATTGTATAAATTTTAAAGATAGGGAAATTTCTGGCAAGAAACATATCTTTTTTCAAGGGTTTAGCGGTCAGTTTTAGAACAATTTATCATTGTTTAATCTGCTATTCTGATTCAGAGGGAAACCTTTCTAAACCCTGAGCAAAGAAAGTACTATATTTGAGCATAGTTCTTTACATGTTTTATTCTCTAGCCAAAGTATATCAGGATATCTTAACTATGATGTTCATCAATAGAACTAACTCCTATGTTGTAATTAGTAATGTACCAGATATGTATGTATAGTTACAGAATGCATTATTAGATCTCTAAAAGGTAGTTCTGAATGCCTTTGTTTCACAGAAAGTCTGTGATGAAATAAACTTGTTTTGTTTTTACTGTAGTCTAAATCTTTTAAGTCTTATTTGCTGTTTTATTTTAATACAATAAAGCTTTCCTTTTGACAGTGACCTTGACTCAGTTTAAGGATTGATTCTGAATGTGGGAGATCGTAATAGAAAAAATACCCTTTAAAAAGTGGTAGATTGGCCGGGCGTGGTGGCTCACACCTGTAATCCCAGCACTTTGGGAGGCCGAGGCGGGTGGATCACGAGGTCAAGAGATCGAGACCATTCTGGTCAACATGGTGAAACCCCGTCTCTACTAAAACTACAAAAAATTACCTGGGCATGGTGGCGCGTGCCTGTAATCCCAGCTACTCAGGAGGCTGAGGCAGGAGAATTGCCTGAACCCAGGAGGCGGAGGTTGCGGTGAGCCGAGATCGTGCCATTGCACTCCAGCCTGGGTAACAAGAGTGAAACTCCGTCTCAAAAAAAAAAAAAAGTGGTAGATTTTAGGCTGGTCGCAATGACTCACACCTGTAATCCCAGCACTTTGGGAGGCAAACACAGGAGGATCAGTTGAGCCCAGAAGTTCAAGACCAGCCTGGGCAATGTAGGGAGACCCTATCTCTACAAAAAATTAAAAACTAGCCAAGTGTGTTGGTACATGCCTGTAGTCCCAGCTACTCAGGAAATTGAAGAGAGAGGATACTTTGAGCTCTGGAGGTGAAGGTTACAGGGGGCTGAGACCATGCCACTGCACTCCAGCTTGGGTGACAGAGCAAGACCTTGTCTCAAAAGAAAAAAAAGTGGTGGGGAGATTTTGACATTATTGCCTTCATTTGTTCCTTAACTTTCCTTCTATAGCTTATCTCCTTCTATAATTGTTGATCCTTAAATACTGTCATACCTCATCTGGAAGAATTTTTATTGAATAAAGGCATAACAGCATATGTTACCATGCCATGAGCCATGTTAAATTCTATATGAGTATGTTTCAGGATAATACGTTGTTGTCATAGTAAAAGGAAGGAGATGCAATTAATGAATAATTTAAATTTGCTTTGGGCCTTGTAATACTTCCTATTCATGACTGTACCTGATCCTTTCACAGTTTGTCTGTATGTAGCTTTATGTCTAATTGAAACTGTCTGTGTAGTTAATTATTTGGCTGTATGTGAAAGTTCATTTGAGGAAAGGATAAGTTATTTGCATTCATAAAAGTGTATGATAATTGGAGTTTTTTATCTGGCATCTCTTAAAAGTAGCAATTTTTAATTTTTTATCAGCTTTAAATATAGAAGAATGTATAATGTAAATGATTTATATTTTTAAATTTATTGTGCCTTGATACTCTTGAAATTGACTACATTTAAATTATTTGCACATAATGTCTGTGAGAATGATTCAATAAAATAACAAAAAGTCATATTTAGGTAATGCATTTGGTTTACTAATTTTTATTTTAATAGAGCCCTGTGCAGTAGAATTGGCCCTTTTAATAATGTTACTGCACAGTAGTCTAGCAACTACTTATGTAAACATTCACGTGAAGGTTTTTACACTTCTGCAGGAGGACAACAATATGCAACACAGAGTTGTTTTATTTATCTCTACAGAGAGTAGTAGTGTCTTTCAGACTGGGGGAAGGAAGATTTCTTATACTTTCTTCCCTGAGAATAGTTATTTGAATATGAATACTTAAAATCTTTTCAGCTCTAACTTTGCCACTATGTGACCTTAGCAAAGCCGTTGATTTTACATAATTTCTGCATCAAAGTCAGGGATAATACCCTTCATTTCCTATCATAAAAGATTATTTTAAGTATTAAATAAGAAAAGTACATATCAAAGTACCTAGATTTACTATTTTGAAAAGATTTGCATTAGCGAATATTTTGTAGACAATTCAGCCAGCGTTTACTTAAGAGTCTAATGTGGTGAGGTAAAATAACTACACTTGAAAATCATCTGTTTATAGAATAGAACTATTCTAGTGATTAATTATAAAACATATCCCCAATGACAGTATGTTAACATTATGTTCCCACAGAAGAAAATTTTTGTATGATTGGGATTTTAGTTTTTTGAATAAATCTAGGGCATATTTGGAATAATAATGATGTGTATTTGAAATTTTATAGCCTGTTTAAAAATTAGTTTTTGTTTTGATGGCTTGTTTTGCCCTTAGTTTGTAAGAGATCAAGTGCTGCTAGTGCTAGGCATTAGTGAATAGGTTAATGAGATATGATTTCCCTGTCAGTCAAAGAATTTACAATCTGCAAATACCTTCACTGCTCCCAGACCTTACATATCTTATAATTTTTGTCTCAGTACTCAGTATAGATAAGCACTGGCATTGGTACTTTCTAGTATGTAAAAATTGTTCATTTCAAAGTATAAGATACTGTATTTTAGTAGTACTAATGCACAAACATCTCAGTCTATGACTTTTAGATTTCATTTATTTATTACCAAGTATTATGGTTTGTTCCATACCATAATATTATGTACCAGGCACTCTAGGCATCTGTGCTAAATCAGTGAACAAAGATAAGATCCCTGTCCTTCTAGTGTGAGTGACAGTCAACTATGAACATAATAAATTATGTAATGTGTTAAAAGATAAGTGCTATGGAGGAAAATAGAGCAGGGTAAGGGGTATTATTATTGAGGCAATTGGGCATATTGCTATTTTAAATAAGGTAGTTATGGTCTCATAGAGAGGTGACATTTAAGCAAAGACTTTAAGGAAGTGAGTTGGCCATGCAGTTATTTGGAAGAATATTCCCAATAAAAGAAATAGCCAGGAATGGGTCTGGAACCCATTGAGGAACCTAAAGGAAGCCCTTGGAAGCAGTATAAGAGAGGACCAGAATCGTAGAAGATGCATTTGGAGAGGAGAACAACAAGATGATGGAAGGTTTTCATAGGATGGTATAAGGACTTTGTTTTTTCTCAGAGTGAAATAGTCATTGCAAGATTCTGAACATGATCTGACCAGAAGCTTGGCTGCTAGCTACTGACAGCTTGAGAACATTAGCTTTGTAAACCTGAGAGAACAGAACTTTAAGAGTCTAAACGTGTCTTACACAAACAAGAAGCTAGTGATTCTGTGTTCATGGCCACCAAGCAGTCGGGTCTTCAGAGAGAGAAAAGTCCTGATGCTTTCCAGGGTTCTCTGGTACAGATCAGCTTACTTCTTGTGGCTTCCCTCTTTCGTCCTTAGATTTCAGCCTTCTGTAGTCTGTCAGTTTCCACTTAGTTCATCTTTCTAACTTCATGTTGTCTTCTGTCTTGTTCTGTCATCTCTTGTCATTTTATTGGTTATTTTAGAAGAGTAAAGAGAAGGATTGTTTAGTCACTGTGTTGAACCAGAAGACTAATTAAACTTAAAAACTGATGTGCCAATGTGATTAGAAAAGAACTCTGAGATAGTTGCACTGAAACTTCACCTTCCCTTGTGAAACATCTTGCCACTATTAATAGTAATAATGTTATTTTCATGAACCACATATCAGGCCTTCAAAAATTTGAAACTTAAAGTATGTCTATTCATGGCAATAAAACGATGCATAATCATTTTCATTGTATAAATTGTTTTAAAAGTATTTTACCTCACTATAAAGCCCCCACTTTGAGTCACTGTACTGGAGCAGTTTAGATTTAAGAACCCCTTTCAGGGAATGGATTTGGACAATATAGTATGCTTAAGAACTTGAGAACCATGAATTACCTAAAGACAACATATTTTGATAGATCACGTAGTTAGGAAACTTGGATTTTAGCCTCATTTCTCTGTGGCTAAATTTGAGACTTCAATAAATTATTTAATATTTTCATGCCTCTTCATTTGTGAAATAAGGGATTGCAGGTTAGATAATCTTTAAGTAAATATAAAAACTTTATGATACTTATGTTGTTTTGGAAATTTTTTAATACTTATGTGGATAATTTTTTTTTTAATTTTTTTTGTGCAGGTTAATGGTGCAATGTAAGAAACCTTTAAAAGTTTCTGATGAATTAGTGCAGCAATATCAAATTAAAAATCAGTATCTTTCAGCAATAGCATCTGATGCAGAACAAGAACCTAAAATTGATCCATATGCATTTGTTGAAGGAGATGAGGAATTCCTTTTTCCTGATAAAAAAGATAGACAAAATAGTGAGAGAGAAGCTGGAAAAAAACACAAGGTAAGAGAAATCACAGTATACCAAAGGGTCACTGTTGATTTTGTAGCTCTGAATATAGTAGTAACACACTTAGTACCACACTTATCTCACTTATTTTGTCTTAGAATAGAAAGAGTAATCATTTATTTAAAAAAGTGTATTTTTGGCTAGGTGCAGTGGCTTATGTCTGTAATCCTAGCACTCTGGGAGATCGAGGAAGGCAGATCACCTGAGGTCAGGATTTTGAGAGCAGCCTGGCCAGCATAGTGAACCCGTCTCTAATAAAAATACAAAACTTAGCCGGGTATGGTGGCATTCACCTATAATCCCAGTTATTCAGGAGGCTGAGGCAGGAGAATTGCTTGAACCCAGGAGGCTGAAGATGCAGTGAGCCAAGATCAGGCCACTTCTTCAAAAGAAAAAAAGAAAAACACACTTTTTTTATTTTTTATTTTATTTTTATTTATTTATTTTTTAATTTTCTTTTTTTTAAAAGCCTACAGCACCCGGTATTCCCAGGTGGTCTCCTATCCAAGTACTAACCAGGCCTGACCGAGATCAGACGAGATCGGGTGTGTTCAGGGTGGTATGGCCACAGACAAAAACACACTTTTTTTAAATGAGTAAATCAAGCACGTGGTACCAGTTATACCTGGTCTGTGATAATGAAAAGATTTTGTTCTTTACAAATACAATTATACATCACTGAGTTTAAAGACTAATATTTCTGAATATGTGATTCAGGAACTTACAGTGCACCTAAAAGTAAAAATGAAGTGCAAGATAATAGTTACTAGATTAAAAATTTAAAAATCCAATATATGAGAATAACTCTGCTACACAAGAATTTTTCTTAAATACAAAATATGAAAATTGGCCAGGCATAGTGGCTCACACCTGTAATCCCAGCACTTTGGGAGACCAAGGCGGGTGGATCACAAGGTCAGGAGTTCGAGACCAGCCTGGCCAAGATGGTGAAACCCTGTCCCCACTACAAAAATTAACTGGGTGCTGTGGCGGACACCTGTAATCCCAGCTACTTGGAAGGCTGAGGGAGGAGAATAGCTTGAACTACGGAGG